ACTCTTTGACTCGAATCACGGTTCACCGCCAGCCTCGCTATCGTGTTTGCGCGGTTGCAAATCCAATATGGCGCCGGGAACTGAGAACAATATCAGAAGTGATTGTTCGCGGTAAGCGAAATGTTAAGCAAAATGGGAATTGGTTTTATTTCAAATTTTCAGTTAAAAGCTCGAGTTTTATTTTATTGCAGTTTAAATACAAAATTCTTTATATTTTTGTCATTTGTTTACTTTTACCAGAGTGTCTTTCTGTCAAAATTTGTTGCATTTCACCCACGGACAGTGAAGGGAATCGTGACGGCGCTGATGCCGAGTCTCCTTTTCTATTGTTTTTCTCTTTTTCTGCCTCATTTAAGAACTCTAACCCAATGGAAAAGGTCAGAAAATTGTCTTCGTTCTGCGACTGGTGGGCCGAGCCTCTGTATCCATTATTTTCGCGGAATATATTATTTTTCCCCGCGCTACAATGGCCGCTCCCGCGAAAAAAAAGAAAATTTCTGGCGAAGCGATTCGCTCACGCTATCAGCGTGCACTATCAGGATATTGAGGACGCTTACGTATAATGAATTTGATTGCGCGGCTCTGCTATCTATGTTATAACGATGTTTCGCTCCCAAAGCGGTCTGTTATCTTTTCCACGTGCGCATTGTTGATTTTTCACCTCCAATTGCGTGACAAGGAATGGCGTGTTTTGACCTCTGAGTCCTTTTCTAAGGTGGCTTCAAAGGGGCATACACTTTCCTCTCTCTTTTTCTCCACTTGCGACGCTGCCTCTTTCTTGCGACTTAGCTGCGACTTTCTTGCGGCTTGCTACTTTCTTGCTACTTTCTTGCGACTTAGCTGCGACTTTCCTGCTACTTTCATGCGACTTACCTGCGACTTGCTACTTTCTTGTGACTTAGCTCACATGCAGCCCAAGCTCACTTCTAGAAGAGCGGACGTGACTCTTACAGTGTTGCGCAGCGTTTTATATTCATAAAGGTTTGTATGGGATGTTATCGGTTTGCCTTAAAAGAGAGAAAAAAATGTCTTGTTTTGAATTAAAATGGACTTACCTTATTGCCTTGCTGTTTTCTTTGTTGATTACCAGCGTCTCAGGCCATTTTGAGGCGTTTTCGGCGAGTTAGCGCTATTTTGGTGTTCAACTGCTAAAAAAAGGATAAGGCCGGAAACCTATTTTAGAAGTGTCCGTCGTCCGAAGCGAATAATTCCGCCAAAAAATTACCACCAGTCTCGATTCCTCCAGAAAATCAAAGCAGAGATGTTGCAGTTCCATTTCCACTCACTCGATTCCCAATTCCTCCCACAATCCTACACTAGCGACGCTTTCATCTCCAGATCGATCGGCTTTCCAATTTCGAATTTGGCTCTTTGAAACAGCTGTGGACCCGTTCGCCGATCGCACAGTATGTCGGGTAACAAAAATAAGCCCGGCGAGGGTAGCCAGCGGGCTGCCGACCAGGGAAGCTAACTGGTTTGTTTGTCGACGGCAGGCCGCTGGCTATCCT